TGGATGGCAAATTAATTCTATCCACTTGATGCTATAGTGATTTAGAATAGTTTTAGTAATCTTAAGAATGATACGTCTGGCACTGCAATCCCAGAGGCACACGGTTCAAATCCACCAGATGGTCTGCTGGAGAAGGAGGGGCAATCTCCTCCTTCACCAGTCAGACCCAATTTGACAGTACACACACAAAATATAATTAAAAAAAATTTTTTTTTAAAAAAAGAATGATATGTCTGGCCCGGGTCTTTATTGGGCCCCAGCTGTTAGAGAATACCGTAGAGAATCTTTTAAGACTTGTGAATTTGGCATCTACTTTCTAGTACAGAAACGACAAAGTCTCTTAAGTTGCTGCTCTCATTTTATTGACGACAATCCAACCAAGAGTTCTTGTGCAATTTTGAAAAGTAGTATTAGATAGTTCTTTATTATTTCTGATTTTAACATTGAACATTGCCCAACAAACATCCTGAACATCCGTGGAAAATTATGATTTTCTTAATCTTTTAATGCTGACTTCAGTGCTATTTCACCCCATTGGATAAAGAGAAATGATGTCAAAACTGCCAGGAAATAGAGCTGTTGATCCAGGTTCCTTCATTCTTCTCTCTCTTGTATACACATAGGCACCCACAGAATTTCCTTTGTATCACTACAAAATATATAGCAGTTGATGGCCTAGTGATAAGAAGCTGGGCTGCAGTCCCAGCGTGGTTGGAATCCACCAGCCGCTCTGTCGGAAAAGAATGGGCCGTCTTCTCCCATGCCATCTGCTGCCTCTGAAAACCCACTGGAGCGTCAACTATGGTTGACTCAAAGGCACACCACAACAGCAATGGTCACAGAGAAGAGTTGGCAGCAGTGGAATTTGAACTCCTGCCCCTGAAGAGACTGGAGCCTTAATCATTGAATAAAGATTGAAAGAATCGATGCATTTGAATTATGGTGTTTTAGAAGAGTATTGAATGAATGATAGACTGGCAAAAGAGCAAGCAAATCTGTCTTAAAGGAAGTACAATCAGGATGCTCCTTAGAGACAGGGATGGTGAGACTTTATCTCATGTCCTCTGGGCACGTTGTCAGGAGGGACTAGTCCATAAAGAAAGGCATCATGCTGGGAAAGGAAGGGCAGTGAAAGGGAGGAAGATATATAACAAGGTAGATAGATATAGCAGCTGGTAACAAGTTGTGAGAACAACACAGGATAGGGCAAAGTTTCAGTCTGTCGTTCATAGGGATCTCTGTGAATTGCAGTCAGCTTGACAGTATGAGCAACAGTAGCCACATGAGATAATTTAAATTAAACTCAAATTCACTTCTCAGTTGCATTAGCTGTATTTCATGAGCTTTAAGGCCACAATCCAATAGACAACATCATCGTAGAGGGAGAAAAGAGTGAAGTTGTCATTGATTTCATTTTACTTGGATCCACAATCTGTACCCGTGGTAGCAGCAGCCAAGAAATCAAAAGATGTATTGCATTGGGAAAATCTGCTGTTAAGGACCTTTACGTAGTGCTAAAGATCAAAGGTGTCAGTTTAGTCTTAAGATGCACCCGATCCAAGCCATGTTTTTTCATTTGTCTTTATGTCTGTAAGTTGGATAATGAGTTAAGATGGACAGAAAAATTGATGCCTTTGCGTCGTGATGTTGGAGAAGAGTGCTGAATTTCCCAGGGCCTGCCAGAAGAACAAACAAGTATGTCTTGGAGGAAGTGGAATCAGAGTGCTTGCTGGAGACAATGATGGTGAAACATAGTCTCACGTACTTTGGGCATGTTATCAGGAGAGACCGATCCATGAAAAAAGACATCCTGTGAGGAAGGTAGAGGATCAGAGAGAAGACCCTCAACCAGATGGATTGAAACAGTGACTGTAGCAGTGGGCTGGCGCTTAGCAGACATGGTGTAGATTGGCTCAGGATAGGGCAAAATTCAGATCTGTTGTTCATGGGATTGCTATTAGTCAACTTGACAGCACCTAACAACAACACCATGGCCACAGTCATGTACCTACTGCTACAGCTTTTGACAGAGCAAGTAGAAACCATTGCCAACATCACTGAAAATTCTCTTACACAATGCTGATCTTATATAATCACAACTAGAGGTGCCAGGATTGGGTTGACCAGTATGATTTTGTGCACTGGGCAAAGACATGGGAGGTATTTCTAACTGCTTTACTTCCCTGTGCCCTCAGGGACCTCTTCAATGCTGCATTTGTGTCCTGCTGGTCTGAACTGAATGAAGACCAGCAGGATGAGCTCATCAGAAGCATCGAGTTGGCCCTCACCTCACAAGACATCGCTGAAGTCACACAAACCCTCCTAAACTTGGCTGAGTTCATGGAACACAGTGACAAGGTGAGCCTTTCTCCCTTCATTTAGATGGGGCTGACAGGGCACCAGCTGGTGGGAGGGAAGAAGCATCCATGCATTCCACTTTTGTTGGTGCCCCATCTGCATTTTGTCCTATGTTCAGGGTTCTGCTTCTCCTCTAGGGCCCACTACCCCTGAGAGATGACAATGGTATTGTCCTTCTGGGTGAGAGAGCTGCCAAGTGCCGAGCGTATGCCAAAGCACTGCACTACAAAGAGCTGGAGTTCCAGAAGGGCCCCACGCCTGCCATTCTAGAGTCTCTCATCAGGTAGGCCGGATACCCTTTTTAATTGCTGATTCATCCTCAGTGACCCTTCTTTTCCCACTTGCCAATCCCAAATCACTGGAGTCTGATAAAGGCTTCTGCTCTGGAAATCTGCCTTCCAGTCTGGCCAACACATTTGAGTGAGATGTGGTTGTGATGCCCCTCTCTGGATTCTAGCCGTAATTGTCATTTTTGTTGACACCCCCCACCCCCATAACAGGGCTGCTATTCATTTCCAAGTGATGCTTGCTGGTCCCAATGAAATAAGCAGTTGAGCAGTCCTGTGGCAATAGCTGCCTGTTTGAATGAAGTTAGATAGCAGTCTCCAAGATGGGAGAAAGAGCTGTTGTTGACCCCAGCATCTCAGAGGCCACACGAAGGCATACTTGGGGCTTTATTGACTTAAGTATTGGTTCTTGGGTTCTGTAAATAGGGGAGAGAAAAGCTGAGAGTTGATGATCTTTTCCCTTGATTTTGGTTATGTTCTCTCTTACAAGATGGCTTTGAATCTCCTGGTATGGAGAAAACGGGTTGTTTAATCCATTTTTTGATGTGCAGTGCATTATCTACATCAATATGGTTTTATTGCTAATGGATCAATCTGTCTGTCTTCCTATCTCTTGGACTTTTTTTTAACTTCTAGGACAAATTAATCTTGCATATAATAAATAAAAAAAAAAAAAAAACAAGCCTACATGGAGGCTATTCCCTTCTCCCCAGAGCTGATATACATAAGTGTAATTGTTCTTAGTGGAACAGAAGATTAAAGGTGTATTCAGTTCCTTGGAAACACATACATGTGTATACATACACACACCTTGTGAGTGGTTATCACATATCGTTAGGATGGCTGACTTTTCTTTCTCCACCGCTGCCTAGTCCCTGCATATAATCCCCTTTCTCAGTTGTTTTCTGATTGAGATACCCACAGAATGAAAGGTATAAATAGGACATTCCTCATTAAGTGAACATACGTCTCTGACAACTGTCTGTTGGTCTTGAGTATTTCTTTTGCACAGCTGTGTTCTTTTCTGTGCTGTATTCTGCCATATATCTGCAAGAATCATTCTGTCAGAACAAAATGTTGTTTGAGAACAGCACCAGGCTCTCCTTTGGGTTCCTAAAATGGTTCTAACCATGTTAACATTGGAGACCATACTGAATCCTGCGTATATTCTCATGTCATCAAATAGGAAGATGAATGTTTATATACAATGTACTGTAAGACCTGATCATCAAAGTGATGGCCATGGCCAGATAGGAGTTAGGCAGGTGGGCTAGGGTCTGGTCTCCTGTCAGCTTCTCCTGCCCTGTTTGCCCCTCAACTTTTCTTTTTCTAGTTTTTGTTTCTCCCGTGTTTCCCTGAATACTGAGAATTATTCTTTCTCAGTACTCACTCTCTGATTTTTCATTTAAATGTTTAACAGTGCTGTATGTAAGTGGTGCTGGTAAAAATTTTAAAAGAAAACAAGTTTTAAGAGTTTATTGTAGAAAGAAAAGAAACTTGAGTTTTTAAAACATAAACTATATTTTTACTTTATTCTTACAAAGAAAGATGCTGTGTACAGCATGGATTATTAACCATAGTGCCATCTACCTTCTATTTGTAGCCATTTCTTATAAACAAGATAAAAGAATACTATTGAGAGAGAGCTCTGTGTTGACTATGAATATTTGGAGGCAGTTTGTACAATTACCTGTGTGGGATTTGCACCCACACTCCTTGGGACTCCCCTGTAACTGTCCCTACTCGCTATGTTTAGTGCTGCACCATGGTCAAGGCCAGCAGGGGGTCGCTAGAAGTGTGATTGCAAGGCCCTGTTCCTACCTGGGTCAGTCCACCACCCACAGAGCTCTGTCTGTATATTAATAATAATAATGTGTAGAGCAAAGATAAATTTACAGCATTTAAAACTAGAAATGCTCCACCGGTACCATGCTCTTTTCATCATTTCTCTAGCACCCAGGGCTCCTCCCTTGAAAACTGAGATTTAATAGTTCCTTTTGGCAAAGGCATTTCTCTTCTGCCCTTCACATGACCTAGGCCTTAGGGAAATAGATGACCTCACAATATTTTTTTTTTTTCACAGAAAAATAATGAGGACAAGACAAGCTATATTAGGGATCACAGGCAGAGAGCTGCTTAGTCCAGCCACTTAGTCTGTCTCAGGACTCTGCGTGTGGAATGCCTCCTCCCATTTGCTACAGCATCCTTGGTACATAGCATCTTCTTGGGCTCCTCAGAGACTTCCTCTCTCGCTGGAGATTGTGAGCCGTGTTCCATCCCTACCTTTTCTAGTCAGTCTTGCTCCCCTCCTTTACCCCTGCCCAACCTCCATTTGTCTCTCCAGCAGGCCTCCTTTTAGGGCTTGAAGTCCAGCGGGCGTATTTTCATCTCCACCCGTTTGAGGGAGTAGTTAGATCCGTGCCAGCCATACCAGGTGATGCCATCCATGTGTTTGTTGTGCTCGCCCAGGCGGTAGTAAACGCCATTGAGGTTGGAGTCTGTGCAGCAGTTGTACCAGTATCCACCTGCAATGAGTAACAGAAAGAAAAGCTGTGTGGAAGGGATGATAACCTCACTCTTCTCCTTTGAAGCAGGTAGAGGCCAATAGCAAAGGTTCCAAACCAGAACGCCGGCCATACCATTACCATTCTCTTCTACAAGTGGAATTCCAGGCCTATTCCTGAACTTCTCTTTGTGACCCACTCACCCCTCCAGATCTCACCTTTCCGGAGCTGTGCACACTTGTCCAGGCAGTTGTCATTGTCCTTGTCCTTGGTGCTGAAGGCCGTGTTGTTGTGATAGAAGAGGGCGTCGTTGCCCACATTGCCGCTGTAGTTGCCCAGGAAGAGGCGGTAGCTGTTCAGCTCATTGCCCAGAGCAAAGTGGTTGTACTCAGCATAATGCTTGTTGCCCTCCCAGTCCTGTCAGGGAGGAAATGGCCTCAGAGGCACTGCAGCAGGGCTTCGTTTCAGACCATCATCTTTGTATATCTATGACTCTAGCTAGACTTTATCACGAGTTCACCTCTGTTCTGTACTAACCTGAGACTCCCAACACTCCTCTCCTGATTGACCACATGCCTTTGGATAGTCTCTCTCCCTCTCTCTGATCCTTCACTTTCTCGTGTGTGAGGTGGTGTTATATGCCGTCAAGTCAGCTTGCGACTCATAGCGACCCATTTATAACAACTCTGGACCCTGCTCTATTCTGAGCCAACCTTATCGTCTCTGACACACCTACCCCCATTACCTCAACCACTGAATCAATCCATCTCATCCCGGGTCTTCCTCTCTTTCTCTGTCCCTCCACCCTCCCAAACATGATGTCTTTCTCCAAGGACTGGTTCCTCCTTGCAGCATGCCCAGAGTATGTCAGATGGAGTTTCAGAAGTCTTGCCTCCAGGGAGCAGCCCATTTAGATACCCATTTTTACTCCATCCTAGTCAGAAGTGTCATAAGAGGCATGTGATTTCCATGCCTTTGACAAGGAGTACCAGCCCATAGCAGTAAGCTTGGCATTTCAAGGATTTGTTCTCTAGACCAGAGCAGAGACAGCAGTGTCCAGGCCCTGCTGATGGGGAATCTTGCTCTACTCTGGCCTGGCCTGGGCTTCCTTCCTCCTTTATAGCCCACAGTCCTGTTTTTCCTCAACTATACTGCCACCTGCAGGCAAACTGTCATAATAAAGACGCAAATCTCTAGTGACTTGAATAAGCGTAGTACCCCAGCATTGTGCACGTGTGTGGTGGCCCAGTCCAGTCCCAGGGGTCCAGGCTCTTGCTCACCTCCATTTCTACCCGAAGCCGGGTTGGCTGTCGGGTGAGCCGGTGGATGTGCTCATTCCCCAGCCAGAAGTCTCCACGGATGCTGCCAAAGCCCTGCTTATATTGCTTCCAGTCTTGGTAGAAGGAGACAAAGCCACTTTTCCGTCTCTGAATGATGGTCCAACCACCTCCTGCAGTCTTCATGTCACAGAACACCTGGGTCAGGGCAGAGAATCCTGGGTGAGGGCAGCACAGGCCGGGGCAGGAGTGTGTGGACTGGCATTCTGTCCTTTCCCACCCACAGGTCCAGTGGGTATGCACACTCCTAGGGTCACACTGGCACACTGTAACAGTGAGTCTACTCCAGTGTTGGTGAGCCAGGGCAGGGCTTGTTGGGGGAAATTTCCAGAGTTGAGAGTGGTAGTAGAGGTGGGAGTCCAGATGTACATACAGTTTTCAGGGAGGAAAAATACATACTGATATGCCCTTCTCATGTTCTCTCTTTTCTCTTCCCCAAAGAATAACTGCCCTAGAGCAGGACAGAAGATTTAAATTAGTAATAATATGGTTATAAGTATTATATACACTCAGGGAGCTCTGGTGGCCTAGTGTCAGGAAACTGCGCTGCATTCCTGAAGGCATGCAGCTCGAGGCCACCGGCTGCTCTGCAGGAGAATGGTGGGCAGTCTCCTCCCATGCGATTAACTGCCTCTGAAAACCCGCCAGAGGGTCAGCTATGGGTGGGTTCTGACTCTGTGAAACACAGCAACAACAACAGTATACATTCAGGGTTTGCTGTTCAGTTGATTATAATTCAGAAGGGCAAAACAGAAGCCTGAACTTTTGTGTTTTGACTAGCTTTCTGACATTTGGTATGTTTGCTCCTCTGTGTTGCGTTTCCCTTTCTTTAGACAATAACTAATTCCCTTTGTTCCCATCCCTTTGAGGGGATGGAGGGCAGATGGTAGAACATCTGTGTGTAGAGGCAGTGTGCTGTCGTGGTCCTCACCTCCAGCTCGGGGCTGCCCAGGAAGTCGTCGGGAGGAAGCTTGTACACTCCAGAGATGCGGTAGTTCTTCTGGTAAAGTGAAGAGCAGTCATAGATGGCATCTGCAGAGGGAGCAAACCAGAGACTGTGTGAGCGTCCCGACCCAGGACACTGTCGCACACAGGCCATTCCTGCTGCATCTAAACTGAATGTTAACAAACTGGCTTCATTCCTACCTAAGATGCATCTGTGTGAACTAGTGGGCTGTGGCTGGATTAGGGAGAAGTGCGCAGGGAAATGGAGAAAGGGCGGCAGGGGTTTTACCTCAGAAGAGGGAAGCATCAGGGAGAGGAAGCCACAGAGGGAATTTCAAAGGACTGAAATGAATTCTTTTGCCATACTCTTAAACTTTGTGGGGAGGGTTTGTTTGGTTCTTTGTTTTGTTTTGTTTTTAGTTGTTACACTTTGAAGCTGAGAAATGTTAAGATGTATGAGTGTCATGGTTACAGACAGATGCATTTGTTTAATAGATTCAGACTCCTCAGACAACAGGAAACTGAAGGCCCGTATTAACCAAACTCTAGTTTGATTACTGTTGGTTGTTTGGGTTTTGTTGCTATTTTCCAGAGAGTAAAATTAGGGTCCTGTGAACCAAGACCCTAATTAGAGGAGATACATTTTTATAATCTTAACCTTTCCCCTTTTAGACTAACACTCTTAGTCTCAAATGAAAATGAAAACACCCCAGAGAACCCTCTGAGGCCCTCCCTGGCAGTGTTACTACAAGAAGGAATTGAGAACATAAGAGGGATGGATCTTCACTGTGGGGCTGCTAGAAATGCTTCCTTGGCTGACTTTGCAGCGGCTGCTTCATTCCCAATTGTGTATCCCAGTTGTGAATACCAGAGGGCACTGTGGGACAGACCGCCTTCCTTAATGGGACTCAAAGAGCTAGAAATCCTACTGTCCAGATGTCCTGTTTGTTATTGCCTTGGGGTCCTTTTCTGAGGACCACTATGCTGAGACTTTTGAAAAGGTGGCAGAATGTAGCACTTCTGCTGAAAGAGTAGTCCTGCCTGGGTCTCCTGCAGAAGAACACGTTACGGAAGAGGAATGAGGGTACCCTTCCTTTGCCATCAGAAATTTGGTCCTTTTACTGATGAAAGCATCTTAACCCACTGCTTTCTCCAAGGCCTACTGATTTAGAGTATAAAGGTGGCCAAGCAGCCAGTAATAAAATAGAAAAACAAGAAGTCATCCCCTGGGAAGGAAGAGTACAAGGCCTGTCAGAAGAACTGCAGTGGATCCCCAAGAAGCTCCCTGATGGGTGGTGAGCAAATCCTTTCGGAAGGGCAGAAATGGCAGGGTCGGATTCCTCTGTCTTGCCTAATCTTCTGTCTGTCTGCTCTCATCTCATGGATCAACTGAGAACCCATTTGTCTGGAAAATGGCTTTTCTGTTGCAGACTGAGGGTCCAGAAGTAAATGCACTCTGCATTCTGGTTTATATAGCAGAGTTTCATGCTCAGTTTATGTTGAAATTATTTTTTCATTTGAATTGAGAGTGTGGTGACCATTGACTTACTCATGAGACCCAGCTCTCTTCTAAGGAACTAATCATTTCTTTCTTCTTGATTCGGTGTATAATGTGACCATGAATTGCAGTGTCAGCCAGAAATGACCTAGCTGCAGAATGATGCACTCTTTACAATGAATTATTTTCTGATAATTTCAGAAAACAGCATTATTCTATGAACAATAAATTCACCTCTGAGCTTACCTAAGCCAAGTCATTATGCAAAAGAAAACATTAGCTGTGTCTTATGTTTGACCTTTGAAAATCGAAACTTTAGCATAGCATTTAATATTTATGTTATCCTAGTGGGAATTTTACCTAAGGTAGTGAGAAAACACAGAACTGGGGAGCCTTTAAGGGTCTTTCCCTTCTCAGTACATAGATATTCATTCTTCAGATGCCTTTGTGCAGTGTCTATACACTTAAGTCTGTAAGAATTAGACCCAAAGAATAGACCCAGAATTCTATTAATGCCCAGGTCGTCTAAATCTTAGGGGCACCAGACACTGTCTTTAGCAAAATTTTGCTTCCACAGCAGCAGGTTTGGGTGTTTATTCCTGCTTCTTGGGGTGGACAGTGCACATAGAGCCTTGCAGCTAATGGTAAGGAAGCAGCAAGTAGTATAGCGGGAGCAGCTCAGAAAGGTGTCAGCTCTGTTTCTAAGGCTTGCTGTGTGGCTTTGAACAAACTGTCTCTTCTCTCTGTGCTTCACAGTGGTGAATTACCATCTGACCTGTAGAAACTGTGTGTAAATCAAGCAACCCTGACGCTCCTGGATATGTTTCTAGAACATGAGAAATCAAGTAACTCTTTACACCGTTACTAAAGGGGAAATAGGGGCAGTGGCATGTCCCACAGACATTGCACTAACTGTTTTTAATGCGCATGTTCCCTAAAGGCAGTGCTTTAGATGGGGAGACCTTGGCTCTTTGCAGGGAAAGTGGTGAGCAGCATGAGGCCATATCCTTACCTGCCGAGGTCTGTGTGACCGTCTGTGCCGCCTGCAGCTGCATGATGTCGAGCTGGTTGTTCATCTCGGAGTACTTGCCCTCGGCCTCGGCGAGCCGGGCCTCCATGCGCTTGCCATTGCTCTCCAGCTCCATCACCTGCATGACCACGCTGACCCAGTCCTTCTCCTGCTTCTGGCTCAGTTCGCTCAGCAGGCTGCTCAGGTTGGCGATCTGGGCCTTGAGCTCTTTCATCTCCTCACAGCAGGCGACCGCATTCAACTGTCCGGGTGTTTTACGCTTAGGGGGCTTCTGCAGCCACACCGGGTGGCTGACAAAGGCCACAAGGAACATGCAGAGCCAGATCACAGCAGAGAGCATCTTTATCATCATTGTTCTCGGACCTGAGGGAGGTAGAATCTCTTGGAAGAATCTGGATATGCTCAGTTGAGATTTGCAAATTTGCAGCAAATTCTAACTTTACACTCTCTCTTGACTGCCTAGCCACTTTGTTCGTTCCTTTCTTCACTCGCTCTGTTAGTTTTCTCAGAGCTTGAGTTTCTGAAGGTAGGCCGTAAGTGGGTATCCTGTATCCCTTGGTTCCAGCCTGAATACTCTACCGGTTTCACATCTTAAATATCATTTGCTCCCTGTACCTCCACCCAAACATGGCCAGGCAGTGCATGTGTTAGCCCCTCCCAGCTCATCTGGGAGGGTCAGGTGCCTGCTGGGTGAAGTCAGCCTAAACTTGGGCCAGAGGAAGGGAGGAGGGATCCAGGGAAGAGTGCCTGCGCAGTCTTTGGGCTGAGACAAGAAGGCTATGAAGTTGTATTTCCAGATTCGCCTATTAGATTATGGCTCTGCCAGCCACTGGCTCAGCTCTATCAGCAAGCAGGACAGACTCAGAAGAATTTGTAAATTCCATTCTAAAGGTTATATAACCATGGAGTGAGGATAGGGAAAAAAAATTAGAATAAGACTCTATTCAACCAAGGAAGCCTGTTAATGTAATCCACGCTGTTTATACGAGGCTCTGCTGTATTTTGGTATACTGATGAATGTGCTTTAACTCGGCTGGTCATTCTCTTCTCTGCTTATCATTCTCTATTTAACACAATACTCATTTTGCATGGAGTTCATTATCTCATATTAAAAATGTACAAAGTAGAAAAATTTAGGAGTATAAGTAAATCCCTCAGGATGTAAAAGAAGATCGTAACTTGTATCCACAGTATTTGTTTACTTCTCTTTTGATCCCTCAGCATAAGAGCAGGCTGGTATTCGCTTCTCACACTTAACGTTTTTGCAAGGAAGAGCCAGGGCATTACAGCAGAAGGGGAACTCAGAGTGCCAAGCTTGCTCTGGGATTGATCTGCATTTTCATCAGTTTTTAGGAAGTGTGAGGACGTTATAGCAGAGGTGGAACTCAGAAGTGCCAGTCATGGTCTGGGATTGATCTCCTGCATTTTCATCAGTTTTTAGGCATAATATCTTTGGGAGGACAAGAGGATATTGTAAAATTTTTTTCTGATTATAAAAGTAATATAAGAGGCGTCATATTGTCTCAGGATAGGGCAGGGTTCAGAACTATTGTGCATAGAGTTGTCCACTCGACAGCACATAACAATTTCAACAACAGTTCAAATCTTCGAAATTACATTAAAATATAGAGAGAAGAATCACCATATAAATTTATATCTAGTGTATCATTTCCCTTGTCTGCAATAGATTTTCCAGTTTGACATTATTTTGTCTATGTATTTATGATTTTATATGTGAAAATAGAGCTGTTTCAATTTTTTGGGGGGGGGGTCTCTAACCCATTTATTTCTCCTGACAGGGAGGTAGGCTGGATTGGGACCTGAAGGGCAGGGCCACTACAGACCAAGGCAGGCGAGTGTGGCCCTCAGCCCACGTTGGCCGCGTTCATGTCATAGTAATTGATGTAGACCTGGTGGGACAGGAAGGTGGGCTTAACTCCACGAAGGGCAGGGCCACTACAGACCAAGGGAAGTGAGCGTGGTCCTCAGGCGAAGTGGAGTTGTTCCATCCCACCTTGGCCGCATTCATGTCATAGTAGTTGATGTAGACTGTCGGGGCTGATGTGCAGCCGCTGGGAAAGCAGACCGCACCGCAGCTTGGTGTAGGTCCGGTTCTGCACGCCGCCGATCTTGCCGATGCTGTGCAGGCTGCAGAGCGCACAAGGGTCACTTGAGCCACTGAAAGCCATGAGCTGGTCTGGGACCACTTGCACTGCGATGTACTGGGACGGTTTGCCGGTGGCCTGCGCCAGCTGCTGGGTAAGTTCAGAGAGCAGCCCGTCAGGCACGGATGCGCGAGGCACGTTCGTGTTGACCACAAACATCGGCATGATGGCAGAGAGTAGTGAGCATGGCGCCTGCAGGCCTGGAACTCTCAATTTTTTATATATCCTATTTGGAAGACACTTCTCCTTTGAAAACAAATGTAATAAACCTAGAATTCCAGCAAGCATCATTAAAATAAGCCTTTCCTTAAGAGTGTGTACAGAGGTCCCTCTGTTCTTAACACAGTAACTTGGTCTTTACAGCATGCTGTTTCCATGTGATGTGGAGAGTCACAGAGTTACTTACAGTATTAACATTTATGTGGACTCTTTGCTCACAGGCCACTCTTTCTCAGCCGTAGGCCTTCAGAGCCCTTTTCCAGTGAGGGAGGGCTTCTGGTGTCTCAGAGCTTTTCTGTTCAGGCAGCTGCAGTTACCACATAGTTTTTATTTCCTCCAACCCAAGGAGCGGTTGGGGATCGACGTGAACCAGGGTTCATTTTCATTTTCTCACAGCCCTACTCTCTTTTGCCTACTATAGGGGTAAGGATGTTGTTGGCACCCGCAGCACTTTGTCATTTCTGCTTAGAAGACTCTAAACCACTCGCTGGTCCTTGTTTGCCTTGCAAATACCTAGTCCAGATGTGCACAGTAGACTTGGCTCCATAGAGTTCATTTCACTGTTGAGAACCTAGCTTGGCCCTAAGCTGTCAGCAACTTGCAGAGTCTACTTATCTCTATGAGGGTCTTCAGAGTGGTCTCCTGGGCATCAAAGGCCAAGCTTAAACCATATATCTTAGAAGTACCATGGACCATATCATTATATGCAAGACTATGTGCAGCTCTGCTCCCTTTGAACTCATTTGGTGATGCGGTAGAGAAACTGTAAAAGGGAATTGATCTTTTGGTGTTCCAGCCAGCTTTTTGTTTGGGCTTTCCAGTAGCCAGTTCCCCTGTCAACCCAAAAAAATACAATGACTAGTTTTAATATATTTGGACAGAAAATTAATCAATCATTCATACCTGCAATCCATATAGCAGTCCTTTCTAGGAAAGATAGCAAGGGGTTCATACGTTTGGAGCAGAATCATCAAGCTTTCAACATGAAAGCCTAGTCCCTTGCATTTATTTTCTGGAAACTGCGTAAGGCTTAAGTTGAAAACAGAAAACTTTTTTCAAGTTGTTTAAAGGTTTGTTTGGGGGTTTTTCCCCTTTAGGTTACCTAAGCTGCCCACATGTCAATAAACTTGCCCAAAATTTTGAGCAAAAGAGCTAATTAGGAAAATTCCCCATGCCAGAAGATTATCTGTACTTCACAACATGAATTTCTAACCTAAGAAAATAAGCCTGTGTTTTTAGCAAAGCTAAGCTACCAGAGAAAACCATGAAGAATGTGGTTGACTGGAGTGATTTTCCCCCTTCTTTGAGAAGTGTTTAATCCTTTCTGCCTCTTAGTAAGCAGATTGACCATGAAAATGTGAATTAACAGAAAATATGGAAAACCTGGATCAGATAGCTGGTAGTTTTTCCTTTTCTCTACTTTAATGGTGGTAAACAAAGGTCAACATGGAGATACTGGAAGATACTTGCAAAAAATAAAGCCTATATTTTTAATGGGGGAGAAACCAGACAATGTTTGGTTAGCCTACAATTTCTCAGAAATTTCAGTGCTTGTACTCAGCAACCTTTGAGTTGGCACCAAGGGTTAGAGCTCATTGTAGAGCTTGAGAGCCTAGAGCCTGGATTTCCACTCAAATAGGAATGTCCTCTCTCATTCTCTGGAAAATATATACATTTTTAACAGAAAAGACTTGTACTTAAAAAAAAAAATCTGCACCTGCCTGCCTTAAACCATCATTTTCAAAATTAGTGAGCAAAGGAATCAGCGACTCTCTCAGCACCAGGCTCTTGGAGTTTGTTACGTGAATAAATGTCAGAAGAGCTTGTCTTGCTTCATTATATATTTCATATAAACTTTTTCCTTCAGAAACCTTTTAATGAGTTGAATCACAGCTTGCCTTACTCTGTACGTATATTTCTATATACCCTCACGCACTGCCTCAGACTCGATTCTTGACTCATGACAACCCACCATCAGATTGCTGAGACCATAAGTCGTGATGGGAGGACAGTGTATCTTTCTCCCACAGAACAGCTTTTCATATGCTTACTGGCTTTTTGGATATGCTGTTTTGTGAAAATGCCTGCATGGATATTTTGCCAATATTTTGACTAGGTTTGCATAGGAAAATTAAAACCATAATCAGCTTATCACTATACACCAAGGAGAAAACATGATAAAATGCCACTGTACACCAGGATGGCTGAAGTGAAGAAGACGGAAAATGCCAAGCGTTGGATGAAAGTGTAGAGTATTTAAAAAAAAATGGAGAGTATTTGAGAGGTGCACACACAGTAAGTGAAACGGAAAACTGGTAAAATTACTTCAGAGAACAGTTTGGTAGTAGCTTCTAAAGCAAAGCATAGCTATATCTCATCTGTTCTTCTTGATATATTCCCAACAAATATGAGCAGTCATGCACCAGAGATGTGCTAGAGCTTTCATAGTAGCACCACACGTAATAGTCCCAAACTGAACACAACCTAAGGGTTCATCAGCAATGTTGCTCTTGTTTTTAGGTGCCATCAAGTCAAGTGTGACCCATAGTGGTCCTGTGAACAACAGATCTGAGCCCTGTCCTATCCTGTGCCACCTTCACAATCTCTGACATACTTGAACCCATTGCTGCAGTCACTGTGTCAGATGTGTTTGGTTGAAGGTCTTCCTCTCATTCACCATCACTCCACCTTTCCAAGCATGATGTTCATCTCCAAGGAATAGCTTCTCCCAGCAACATGCCCAAAGTATGTGAGACGAAGCTTTATCATCTTTTCCTCCAAGGAACACTCTGGTTGTACTTTCTCTAAGACATATCTGTTTGTTCTTCTGTCATTCCATGGGATATTCAGTACTCTTCTCCAGCACCACATTCTTCTTCTGTCATCCTTTGTCATTGTCCAGCTCTCAGATGCATAGCAAGTGATTGAAAAGACCATGGCCTGAATCAGATGCACCTTAGTCCTCAGA